TTGTCTCTGCCACCCCAGGCACAGCCATCTTCCTGAATACGCAGGGTTACTGCCAGCGTTATTCACTTTCAAATTTCTTCTGCTCCTCCAATCTGACCACAACCAGCACCAGTTAACCACAGTGACCAAACATTTCCTAGCGGCAGGCATCCTTCCCGGTACTTTACAAATATCTCTAATTCCTATGATATTATTGTCCCCACTTAAGGCCAGAAAGCTCAAATACACTGAATGGTTTGTTCAAATCACACAGTGATTAGCAGAACCCACTTTCGTCTCTCCAACGACTCAAGGACAAAAGCCTCCATCATCCTTCATTCGCCTAGAGGATAGACGCCAACCAGCCCACTGGCAGGCTAGGTGCCATGCTATCGGCCCAAGCTTATCTCTCGCTGGGCTTCAGCACTCCTCTGTTCCAGACTGGCATGTCTGTGCCCTCTCCCCCAACCCCCGGGCTTGCTCCCAACACCCACACTTCCAGCCATTGTTCCTGTGACCTAGAATGTCCTGTTTTCTCTCTAAGCCTCCTCAGATCCCCTGACACTATGGGATCCCTCTTCCATCCCATACCAAGTCCTCATTAAATGCTTAGCCCTCCCTGGCCTATTTCTGCCTTCAGTTCTGTCACTCACCCCACTCATGGGGCATGGCTCACACATCTCTGTCAACCGGACTCAGCAGCATACTTGACATGGTGAGCTGATGGAGTATTTTCACTCATATAGCATCTCAGTTGATACATATGTTAGAGCCAACCCTGGAGAATTTTCCCTTGACCTGTTACACCATGACCTGGAACAAAACCAGTTGTCTCGGACAAAATGCAAAGTAGGTAAGTTTACTATCAATGCCTTTAAATGCAGCATGCCTTCATACAGTTTCTTTCCATATGTAGAAGCCAGGTATGTAAAAACATTCTGTGTTCCTTCTTCTCTTCTTGTCCTTTTTCGTTTCTTTCCATTGTGGAAATAACAACAGGTATATTACCATATATCAGATTCTTTTTCTAATCATGTCACAAAAATCAGCTGCTTTAGTCTTCTTTACAAGCATCTGAAATTGGTGTTATCTCCCTTTCCCTTTCAAAGACAAGGGGACTGAGTCACACATCAACTAGGTAGCTTGTTTAGATCACTATATACTGCCTTGCCAATAAACTGATGTACATTTTCCTTAGAGTAAAAGCAAATTCTTCCTGTTTAAAAAAAAATCAGAAGGATGAGGGACTGTTGAGATGACTCAGCAGTTAAGAGCACTGATTTTAGTGTTGCAGAGGACCTAGGTTTGATTTCCAGCATCAGAACTGTGGCTCACAACCATTCGTAACTTCAGTCCCAGGGGACCAGTGCCCTCTTCTGTCTTCCTTGGGCACTGCAGGCTCATCAAGCACAGTCATAATCAAGCAAAACAGCCAAACATAAAAATAAATAAAAAGTTTAAGAAGGAATAAGAAAAGGTCAGAAGACCTTTGGGTCCAGCTTAGTGGTTAGCATGTATCCAACATGCAGAAGGCCCTGTGCGCCATCCTTGGAATAACTCCACAACAAACCAACCAACCAGATGCTAAAATAGGAGAACTATCTAGGATCCTGTTACTTACAGAGAAATTTTTAGAAAATCAAACCGCCATGTATACCATGGGTGTTTTTCTTTAATTCAAAATTTCAAGCCACCACCTTGATGAAGAATATAGTATACACATATCAGAAAATTCACCTGTTTTAATTGTATTCTAATCTTAGGAAAATTGCAGCGTTCTGAAACTATTGCTCTAGACCATTCTATCACTTTGTAAAAGCACTTTATACCCATTTACACTCACTCACAATCCTTAGTTACTGCTAGTTTCTTTTCTTTCTGTATTGATTTACTGCTCTGGGCATTTCATATAATTAAATGGTTTGTAAAATCTGGTCTCTTTTACTCATGATAATGTGGATTTTTTGTTTTGGGCCATGTATATAGGTATGTTCACACATGTGGGCATGCATGTGGACACCCAAGGTTGGCATTGGGGCTCATCCAGCTGATAAAATGGGCACAAGAGTTGAACAGACATTTCAACAATCACAAATTTGCCGAGGACAGGAATAAGTAGGCAAAGTTCTGAGTTCTGAGCACTCATTTTCACATAAAAACTTGGGGCTGACAACCCCATCCTCTGTGCTTTACAAATACAATTAAATAAAAAACTTAATTTGCCATTAGCGTCTTCACAACCTTCTAGGTTTCAAGGCCAAGAATGAATAGTCACAGTCGAAGATTCCTCATAATTTGGGATTTTCACAGAAGATGTGTCTTTTCCCATCTATTTCAGTGGCTAACGCTGGACAGGGCCTTGGTAGTGGTTCAGCTGCAGTTTATTAAAATGAAAATAATAAAAAAATAAACAGTGGTTGATAATAGTTGGCGTGTTTTTAATTAATTACTGTTGTGGTATTGAGGATTGAGCCTAGGGCTGAAAGACAAGCACTCTACTACTACATCCCTAGTTCCAGCCCCCACAGTACCTCATTATACAGCCCTAGATAACTTGGAGCTTGCTTTGTAGACCCTATGGCCTTGAACTCTCAGAGGTGTACTTGCCTCTGACTCCACATTAAAGAACGATTCAAGGTTGTGACAGCTCCCAGCTGTCTTTTTACTTTTTAAGACAGATCTCACTAAATTGCCCACGTGGCTTTGAATTCATTCTGTAGCCAAGGCTAACCCTGAACTTGAGACCTTCCTGCTTCATTCTTCAGAGTAGCTGGGATTAGAGGCCTGGGCCATCAGGCCTGCATGCCATGTATATTTCAGTGAGAGACTTACAGGACTGGGTTATCTCTGAATGACAACAATGGTCATCATTTAAGAGCTTCACAGATGGGTGAATGGCTGCATCAGGACCCCTTTCTGAAGTGGAGTTTCCTGGCATCTCCTCTAAGGTCCCTTGTAAAGCTAGGAGCTTCTTTCGAAGATATTTTCAGGCAGTGAGTGCTAATGGAAAAAAAATCCACACAGAAGGAGAAGGCTTAGGAAATGGAATGAGAAGGGTGCATTAGGAGGATTTCGGAGATAGGTATCCTGACCATGCCAAACTGCCAAAGAGGCGTGGCCACTGGGTAACCTTGAGAAGCCAAATAGGCTGGCTATGCTCCTTTGGGAAAACAGCCCTAAATGTGGAAGGCAAGTATTGACAGTGGTGAAACGCGAGAGGAATGGAAGGTAATATAATGACAGTCTCCTAAAAGACAAGTACAAATGCAAGCCTAGAAATGAGACTGAACAGACACCTGTACAGGGTCGGTGGAGAGCTCCCAGCTGGAGGGTGTCAAAGGCTAAGAAAGAAATGCAAAAACCAAGGTCTTCAACTTCTGTGGTCCCCCCTCCCACACACACAGAAAGCAGTAACCAGCTATTGTTAGGCTCTTGGGGTGCCGTGTGCATGAAATACCCTGGAAGACTAAAGAAATGGAGGTTCCTGTAGGGACTCAGAGTTTTGAGGGAGTTGGAGGGAGGGAGTGTGTACTGGATTTCATTTTGTATTTACCTCTGTCTGGACTGGAACTCACACTTCTCCCATCTCAGCCCCACCCTCCTGTTGCTGAGATAACAGATACTAGCCATCATGTTAGGCTAGAGATTCAGACTGAAGGTGGTGGTGTGCTGGCTTCCAGAGTCACAAGACTGGAGAACTGATGAGCAGACCTTATGGGGGCAGGTTTGCCGTGCAAGAGAGCCGTCAGGGAACCTAGAAAAGGCTCCAAAATGATGGAGCTTCAGAGTTTCATTTTTTTTGGGGGGGGGAGGCACATTCCCATACAGTAAAATAGCAGATCTTAATTAAGCAGAGTAGTGGTGGTAGGTGGTACATGCCTTTAATCCCAGCAGGTGAATCTTTGAGGTCAGCTTGGTCTACAGGACAAGTCCCAAGGCAGCCAGAACTGCATGGAGAAACGCTGTCTCGACCTCCCCCCCACCAACCCACAAACTAGCAGATCTAAGCATGGAATGAATTTGAGTAATGTCTCCATTTGCATGATCCCTTTCTCAGATTCAGTTTTCTTTTCTTTTAATTTCGGATGCAGGATCTTTTTACTTCCCAGGCTAATTTCAAACTTAGGGATCCTTTAGCTTCTGCCAGGGTGTGGACATTATAAATTCGGGTCACGCTATGTGGCCCCAGATTCAGTTTGCATTTTTTCATTTATTTATCTATTTATTTAAAGACAGAGTCTCTATAACTCTAAGTAACCAGGAGCTCATTACATGGTCTCCACTGGCCTTGAGCTCTTGGTGGTTTTTCTGCTTCAGCCTTCCAGGTGCTGAGATGACAGGCCTGAGCCACCATGCCAGGCCAAATTCCTTTTGGCCAAATTCAGTTTTTAAATGCCCGAAATCCTCATGTCTGTGAAATTCTAAAATGAAGTTGCTTCAAAGGTAGAAGCTATCTCCACCTACGGCGGGAAGCAATGAAGGCTAGAGTTAAATGAGCTGGGGTGACATTTATCTACTGGAGCCAGGTGGTAGGAATCCTGCAAGCAAATAAACAGGGGTGTAGGAGACAGATGGGAGGCAGAAAACTCGGCCTTTAACTTTTGGGGCGCTTGAGCCCGGTGCACTGAGGATCTTTATTTGACATAAACATAGAATTGGCTTTTCTTGGACTTTCAATCCCGCGTCTCACTCTTACTGGAGGGTGGGGGTGGGGTGAGGGGAGAAAACGGCTGCCAGTCTCCCTTTTCCACTGGGCCTCCCTGGGGCTAGCGGTGAGCAAAGTCGACCACACAGGGTGGTCTGCACCTCCTCCAGCAATGGGCGCCGCTCGGCTCAATTCCTCGGAGCAAGGAGCTCAGAGGGAGCTCGTGCTGGTGCTGTGCACACGGCTGTGATTTGTAGCGATTTTTGCAGTAACGCTCTTGCGAACAGCTGCTGCAAGCTTGCACACAGAAGCACAGTGGATGGAGTTGGGGGGACAGTGGGCGTGGCCACGCCGCGTAGCGCCCTCTCCCGCCCACGCAATCCTCGGAAGGTTCGGAAAAGTATCCAAAAGTCCTGCGCGAGGCGCGCCAAAAGAGAAAAAAAAAGGTACAACCCCCCACCCACTTCTCGAGCTTTTCATTTGGACTGCACGTCGGTCTGCGCTGCACCCGCCTCCTGGACTCCTTCTAGGGAGCTAAGCGTCTTGTTGGGTGGATCCGCGAGCAGGAGACGAAGCTCGATGCCTAACGACGACTCATTCAGCAAGCCTTCTACACCGACCGAGGCCCCGCACGCTCCGGGGGCTCCGCCGCAGGGCAAGGCCGGCGGCTACAGCAAAGCGGCCGGGGCGATGGCAGGAGCGGCCGGGGGCTCCGGCGCGGGGAGCGGCGGAGGCGCCTCGGGCTCCGGGCCGTCGGGCCTGGGCTCTGGAAGCAAGAAGTCCCCGAGGCTGCCCAAGTGCGCTCGCTGCAGGAACCACGGCTACGCGTCGCCGCTCAAGGGCCACAAGCGCTTCTGTATGTGGCGGGACTGCCAGTGCAAGAAGTGTAGCCTGATTGCCGAGCGACAGCGCGTGATGGCCGCGCAGGTGAGTGCGGGGTCCCGGGAACAGGGGCGCAGCTCTCCGCGTTCCCAGCGAAGTCGCGGGAGGCCACCGACGGACACGTGTTAGGGGCGGGCCACGACTTCCAGACGCTGGGGGCAGGGTGGTGGAGGGTCGGGGACCCTACTGACCCAAAAAATCTTTGTATATGTGTGTGTGTGTTCTTTCTGCTTGAATCTCGTGGATTCCCGGGGCTCCCGGAGGCGATGCCGGGTTCGGGCCCGCAGACACGCACGCTCGCCCTGGGGACCCGAGTGGAACTCTGCTCAGAGTTCTCTGCAACCTGACCCCCCCCCTCTCCTGCTGAGTTTCGGGGTTCGCCTCGCACTTGTGCACCGGAGTTTCTAAGGGTGCTCTGTGAGCAGAGTCGCGAGGTTTCCTGACTCGGAAGACCCCGAGACTGCGCCATCTGTCTAGGGATGTTGGGGCGTCGTACGGACTTTCTGAGATGCGGACGCGGCTAGCAAACTGGCGGGGTTTGCTCCACTGGGAGGGCTGCGGGATTCGAACTTCGGTTCCAAGCTGGAAGTTGGGTTCTGCCCTCTGGGAAGATTCCCCACAGCCCCGAACCCCACGCTACAAGGAGAGTTGCAGGATTTGCTCTTCCGGGGTCCCTGGCTTGGAGTCCCCAAGAGGCTGCCGAAGTAGGCGGAAGGGATGCGCCTGGACCAGTTTTCACCCTGGCGGCGCGGGAATGTGCTGCTCCCGGGGCTTTCTGGAAAAGTCCTTGGGATGGGCGCGAGCGCAGCGTGTTCGCGCCTCTATTGGCGCACTTTCCGGGTTCGCCCCGCGGACCCGGGCAAGCAGCGCTTCAGCCATTTTGAGCGGTCTGAAAATGCTACTAGCATTTGCAGACTTGTAGTTCCGATCCAAGTTATATCAGTTTAGATTACTTTGAAAATGTTTTAGTCATGCTTAAAAATGAAAAAAAAAAAAATACAGGTGCTGGGGAAGATGCCGGTTTGATCGTTCTTTTCTTTCTTTTCTTTTCTTTTCTTTTTTTTTTTAATGACTTGAACAGCAGGCTAGTAATTTAGCATCATAACGGAAATAGTTAAATGTCGGTCGGTATCCTAAAGGATTTTTAGAAGGCAATAATATACATTCTTTTCCCCCCAGTGTTGTTTCATCTTAAAGCAGGTTATTTAAAATTAAAAGATACCAAAGAAATGTTTGCTAAAGACTAACTACTTTAGGTTAAGAACATCTTTTGAAAGTGATGCAGATGAGAAGGTTGAACAGGGATGCACAAACCCTAAAGATTATATACCCCTATAGGCATCATATCTTTAAAAATAAGTCTTAAATTATATATACTGTGGCTTCTCGTTGTGAAGTTAAAAAATAGTTTTTGGCTTCTTTCTTTCTTTCTTTCTTTCTTTCTTTCTTTCTTTCTTTCTTTCTTTCTTTCTTTCTTTCTTTTTTTGGACAGGGTTTCCCTGTATTGCTTTGAGGCCTGTCCTAGAACTTCCTCTGTAGACCAGGCTGGCCTCGAACTCACAGAGATCCACCTGCCTCTGCCTCTGCCTCCCAAGTGCTGGGATTAAAGGTGTGGGCCACCAACTCCGGGCTTTTAGTTCCTTAAATGACATTTTAGCTTAGACTGTAATGAATTAAAAGAACATGCTTCATCTTACATTGAAAAGCATCACAATGAGATTATAAAACAACTACTAAATTATACTTGTAGTCGAAAATGGTTGGATTATGTGTTCATTGTGAAGATTATAGTTGGAAGGAGTTTCCTCCAAGGAATAAAATATTTATTCTAGTGGAGACATTAATTTTGAATAACCTTGATTGGGGGGCTAATTTTGAGGTTCTTAAAAACTGACTTAAAAACAAAAAAGCAATTCAAAATTTCTTACAGAATGGGGTATTAGGACTTTCCACACTGGGAATAGGGTGCTATGCAAGACAAATTCTTAAAAATCTAGATAATATTTACAAGTTTTACTCACTTTAAATAATTTGAAATAGATACTAAACATAAGTTGAAAACAATCACATCTTTAATCAGTTGCTACCTCCTTCCCTGTTTGAATGAGCATTTCCTAACAGAAGGTTTTTGAAAAAGGTATGGATTCATGGCATATCCAAGTTGTGCATTTGGGGTATGCCAGGGCATGGGGTTTGTGTAGGTGTCTCTGGATACACTTCAGAGGGTGCAATGGCTGCGACTTCTTGTCCAAGTCATTGCTGTTCTGTTTCTAAGCCTCTTGACTAATGTAAAAAGCAAAAAAAAAAAAAAAAAAAAAAAAAAGACCCCACGACAATCAATCTTAAATACCTGCTTATTTAAAGTCTCCCATTCAAAGTTAAAGGTACCTTTGGTTATGAGCAAAACTTCCACGTTAATCACTTAAGTTTGGACAGTAGTTTTAAAAATACAGTGATTATAGTTGTGAATTGCAGAAATGGGGCTTGGGGTGCAGGTGTGGAAGGCAGGGGACAATTTTGTGTAGTTGGGTCCTTCTTCTCTTGATTTTGGGACTGCAGATTTACTGCAAGTACATCTACCTGCTGAGCCAAGTCTCTGGTCTGCTTACCAGTTTTGTTTTTTCTTAAGTTTGGTATAGTGAGCCTAGTACCACCAAGTACTTTCCCAGCTCATGGAATTGTGCTTTTGAGTTAGCATCTTGATTTTACCTTTGCTCTTGGCTTTAGGCCTCTGAGGTATTGGTACCTTCTCCTGTTACATCATCAATGGTCAGTTTCCAGAGAAAGTCTTTTGTTTTTGTTACACATAGTAAACAAAATGCTTCGTTTTCTTTAAGCCCTTTTGGGATCCAACGTCAACAAATGTTATTTAAAAGACAAGTTGAGTAATTACGGACCATATGGAGTTTAGTAAATGCATGTTGGGTTCTTTCTCCAGTTGTGGTTCACCTTCCTGCTGGAATCATCTACTCCAGGGCCTCCAAGCACCAGGTTCCAGTCTCTTTCTCCCCAGCTCCACCCTGCCTTGGGAAACAGGGCTCTTCTTTCTGGGGTACCTGAGCTGTCCCTGCCTTTCCTGACCACTCTTCTTGTTTCAGATTGTTCTGCTCTTCCCCTGGCTTTACAAACTCTCCTCGTCAGATGCTTATACTTTAAAGGCATTTTATTTTTTCTTTTTCGAGGTGGGGGGTCTTGCTGTGTAGCCCAGGCTTGCCTCAAACTCTCTCTTCCCGCTTCATCCTTCTGAATGCTGGGGTGACTGGCATATGCCACAGCACTTACCCACATTTTAAAGATATTTTGATTGGGATTTTTTTTTTCCTGTAAGCTTGCTGTGTATGTCTCTCAGTGTCTAGCATGTTCTGTCTTGATGTTGCATGCTTGTCTGCTTCCTTCCATTTTCTTCTAAGTGGAGAGGAACGTGGGTCTAAGCTGACCTCACTGCCTAATATTCCCAGTACAAGGACCTTTTCTCTACATGTTGGGTGAAGGAGTGGAATGGTCTAATTCTCCTTTCTAACCCATTGGAGCTTTTTCTTGGTATTGAGTCCATTCTACAGCTTGTCCAGCTGGGCATATTTTACTTACCGAGTGTCTTAGGGTATATATGGCTGCAGTGAAATAACCACAACCAAAAAGCAATTTTGGGAAGAAAGGGTTTATTTGGCTCACACTTCCACAAAGCCAGGACAGGAACTCAAACAGGGCAGGAATCTGGAGGCAAGAGCTGACACAGAGGCCATGGAGGGATTCTGCTTACCGGCTTGCTCAGCCTGCTTTCTTTCAGAACCCAGGACCATCTACCCAGGACTGGCCCCACTTACGATGGACTGGGCCTTCCCACATCAATCACTAATTGAGGAAATACCCTGCAGGCTGACCTATAGCCCTGTCTTCCTGAGACATATTCTCACTTGGGGTCCCTCCTTTCCAGTGACTGCAGCTTGTGCCAGCACAGCTAGGGAGTCAGGTGACTGGAGAAGGCAGAAATGAGAGCTGATCATATCACAGTAGTTCAGCAGAAATTCACAGCTGAGTATGCTGGAGGGTGACTCACTGCCCTGTGCTTGTAGGTGGCCCTGAGAAGACAACAGGCCCAGGAAGAGGAACTGGGCATCAGCCACCCCATCCCGCTGCCCAGTGCAGCCGAGTTGCTTGTCAAGAGAGAGAATAATGCCAGCAACCCATGCCTGATGGCCGAGACCAGCGGTTCTGCCCAGCCTCCACCTGCCAGTACCCCCAGCTCTGCTGCTTCAGGTACCTAGGGGCTGGGTTTCCATGCCTTGGTTGCTTTGTCTTTGGTTGCTTCCCAAGATGCTTCTAGAAGCAAAGTGTAAACAGCTTTGACTTGGTGTTCACCAATATCAAGAGTTGTAATCGTCAAACATTGGGCAGAAGTGAGACTGATCATGTATCATCTCCATCCATTATGGGGTCCTCCTGGGTGGGAACTCAGAGTCCTTGTTTCCTTGGACTGGGCAGCTCTTCCTCTAGCACGGACTACATCCCTTAGGGGAAAGTGTCTGAGAAGGCAAATTCTAGATTTTACAGTTGAATAGAGAGAGGGAACACAGGAGCCATGTTCTCCCGTGTGCTGCATGCCTTCCAGGGGCCGTGTGAGTCACTGTGAGGTAGGGATAGTAAGTCTTTGTAATGTGCGTGACAGCTGAGGTAGGAGCTAATTGACAGGCCAAATTGATTGAAGTCCATGTGCCTTCAGAGTTCAGTGCTCTCACTCAGCTCCAGAGAACCAAGAAGGTGAGCGCTCACTGTCAACTGGGGAGACCTTGAGCCACGTGCGCTTTAAAACCGTTTAACTGAAATACAGTGAGGAAATTTGGTAGCCACAGGTGGCCCAGGACTGCCACGAGGAATAATGCATTTCTGTCTTCAAAGAGTTGATAGTGGGGTTTGAACAGCACTTGCTGCTCTTCCAGAGGACTCAAGGTCGGTTGATCACCACTACCTGTAGCTCCAGCTCCAGAAGATCCAGTGGTGTCTATGGTGTCTACACATGTGGCATTTTTACACACACACACACACACACACACACACCCCTCATTCAATAAATTAAAAAACAAATCATAAAAAGTTGACGGTGGTTTGGAATGCAGGGGTACTTAAGAAACCTGCTAGTGTTTGAGTTCTGAAGTTTCTGGCAGTTAAACAAGAACTGCCCCATATCTGTGGGGCATAAGTTTTAAAACCCAGGTGAGTGCTTGAATGAAGACAGCACTATACCACACATACATACAGACAAGGCACACAAGCACATACAAATATACATACAAACAAATAGACATGCAAGCACATATATAGATACACATGTAGAGACATACATATGTACATATACACATGCATACACATATAGGCACAAATGCATACACATGTATAAGCAAATAAACACATACACACTCATAACCAACCAATATACTGAAAGAGACTCATATACCCATAAACTAATTCATACACAGATCCAGATACACAACACATGTACACATTCACAGACATACTCTGAGATGATACACTTACACACATACAGACACATAAACACAATCACATAGGTATACACATACACACATTTACACATGCTCCTTCATAGACACATACATATGCACACATAAACGCACACTATGCTGTCCTGTAGCTACATACCTGTGACAAAGTTAGGTTTGCCAGTTATGTATAGTAAGATATTAGTAACAGCTAATAACTGGGGTAATTATACAGCATGTTTATAACAAAGTTATTTCAAATTTATGGGTTATTTATTTTTGCAATTCTTCATTTAGTACTTCTGGACCATTCTTGATCTCAGGTAAATGAAATCCCAGCAAAGGAAACTGAGTATGGGGGAGCTACTGTGCACACTGAGTCACAGCATATCTCTAGGGTCTGCTGTGGCTCATGAAACCAAACTTGCACTGTGAACCATCTTAATCCAGTCTTCATGAGTCACCTGGGTAACATTACTCAGCCCCGTTTAAAAGCTGTGCAACTTTAGACAAGTTGCTCAGGTACTCTGGGCTTCTTGTTTCCTCTCAAAAAATGAAAGGGTCCCAGGGGGGGGTGCCTTCCCATGAGTCTTGGTATAAAGGATAAGGTAAGTGTGCCTCCAAGAAGCAGGTGTTTCTGTATTTCTGTCACTATAGATCATCGAATTAACAAAGGAAAAGGTACCAATGCCTCTAATGTATGGTAATGGGATTACATCCCAAAGAATGAAGGGCATAGAAGGTACACTAATGCATTTATCCCCCAGCTACTGAGGCTACAGTTTACATTGTGTGCTGGGAGGTGAGGCTCTGCTTCTTCTAGAGTTGTGGGATAATCAACCTACATATAAGTAGCCTAGAGAATACAGTCTGACATCTGATTTCTTTTGGAAGAATATTGTTTTCTGTCAGTTTTAGAACCAATATTTTTTTTAAAGGCACAAACATAGTACTTTTTAGTTTTCATTGGATTTAATGCTCACAGTATATATGCAGAATAGTTTCCAAACTTAACTCTTCATAGGACCAGGGAAGTTCTGGAAGGCTATGTTCAAGGGGCGGTGGCAGGGTATGTTCAAGGGGTGGCGGCAGTTAAAGAGAGGAGCCACAGGTGAGCAGGAAAGGGACCAGGGTCAAGGAGGACCCCCAGCCCGATTTCCTGTTTTGCCTTAGGAGCTGACAAACCCCAGGATCCTCTTGGCATCTTGAATCATCAAGCAAAGGGAAGGGGAATGTTTGTGACAGGTTGAGTTGTGCTCATTTACTGGGGACCAGGTGGGGGGCATGCTTGGCCTGGAGGCTCGCTCTGCCTCCTGGAGGAGACAGGTTCCCTGGCAGCCAGTTCAGCTCTGTGAAACTTCAATGGTCTCCATCACAGAACTGACTGTGAGGCATCCGCTCTGCAACTGATGGCTTCTGAACCAGGTCAGGGTATGAGCATCAGGGAAATGAAGATGGGAGTAGAATTAAATTACTGCATCTAGAGGGAGGAGAGACAGTAACCAGACAAAGTCTTGAAGCTTTTAGGCAGCACATGAAAGCCAGGCCACCTCTTAGGTAGCTTGCTACTAGCAAACACATACCTTGTTAGAGATTCATTTGAAATAACACTTAGTTCAGGCAGGCAACTGGTAGATAGTAGTCTGGTGAGATGGCTTAATGGTTAAAATGGCTTGTCATGCAAACCCGATGACCTGAGTTCTAGAACCCATAGTGGAAGGAGAGAATTGATTAATGTCCTCTGACTCCACACATGACCTGTGGCATGCATGTGCTTGCATGCGCGCGCGCACGCGCGCGCACACACACACACACACACACACACACACACTTTTAAATACTAAATAGTTATCACTAGGGGGCCAGGGAGATGGCACACTGGGTAAAGTACTTGCTGGGTAAGCATGACGACCTGTGTTCAGATCCTCAGCACCTATGCGGTTGTGTGCGTTTGTAACGCAGTGGAGAGAGCAGAGATGGGTAGATCACTGGAGCTTCCTGGTCAACCAGCCTTGCTAAAATAGCAAGTTTCAAGTTCAGTAAGAGACCCTCCCTCTCTCTCAAAGGAAAAGAAAATGAAGCAGAGGGCCCGGAGAGATGGTGCAGTGGTTAGGAGTACTTGCTGGTCTTACAGAAGATGACAGTTCAGTTTCCGGTACCCACATGCTGTCTCACAACCCTCTGTACTTCACTACCAGAGGATGTAACACCCACTTCCGACCTCTGCAGGCACTAGGCATATATATGGTGTACATACATACATTCTGTAAGCAAAACACCCATACATGTAGAACACTCAGATGGTTCACATACCTATATACAGGCAAAAACATTTGTATATGTAAAAATAAATCTTGCAAAAATAAAATGGAGTGACAGAGGAAGATACCTGACACCAGCCTCTGGCTTACACACACACACACACACACACACACACCAGCCTACACACACACACACCAGCCTCTGGCTTACACACACACCAGCCTACACACACACACACACACACACACACACACACACACACACCAGCCTCTGGCTTACACACACACACACACACACCAGCCTCTGGCTTACACACACACACACACACACACACACACACACACACCACCAGCCTCTGGCTTACTCACACACCAGCCTACACACACACACACACACACACACCAGCCTCTGACTTACACACACACACACACACACCAGCCTCTGGCTTACACACACACACACCAGCCTCTGGCTTACACACACACGCACACACACCAGCCTCTGGCTTACACACACACACACACACACCAGCCTCTGGCTTACACACACACACACACACCAGCCTCTGGCTTACACACACACCAGCCTACACACACACACACACCAGCCTCTGGCTTACACACACACACACACACACACACACACCAGCCTCTGGCTTACACACACACACACACACACACACCAGCCTCTGACTTACACACACACACACACACACGCACACACACCAGCCTCTGACTTACACACACACACACACACACACACACACACACACACACACCTTCCTTCAGTGAAAGATCAGTGTTCTTTGAGTCCAGCCTGAAGTTCTCACGCATCATTACAATAAAACTTGGTGCCCGTAAAAATTTCTGACCCGTATTATATACATGAGTATAATGCTTATACACAGCCTTTTCACCTAATACAGCATGGAATTCTTGAAGATTTATTTTTAATTATATATGTGTACATATACATATATGAATATATATGTATCCACACACTTATGGATGGGGGGTGCAGTTGGAGTGCAGAAACCCATGGAGGTCTGAAAGCAACAGGTCCCTCCCTACCCCCTGGGAGGTATAGTCACAGGCAGTTGTGAGCTGCCTGGTGGAGAACTAAACTCTGACCCTTCCTCTTAATCACTGAGCCATCCTTCCAGCCCAGCTTGGAATTCTTAATGGCTTAGAGTTTCTTTATACAGAGATGTGTGAGGACAGAGTTGGAAGTGACTTAGTAACCTACAAAAGGAACAGGCATGGTGCTGGTGTAGTAAAATCTGCCTGCCTGGCTCCCTAGAGGCCTGGAAATAAACTCTTGCTATCCCGTCTTTTCATGACCTCTCACTTGGTAAAATGAAATGGACTTTTTTTTTTTTTTTTTTTGGCCTTGAATCTCAGTTATCTTCTTTTGGCTCCTTAAAATGCCAAATGTGAGTAAAGAGAATTATTGTTGAGACTATTAGCTGAGTTTTAAGGACACTTCAAAGGAAATTGGTTT